TAGCTAGAATTACAGGCGCGCGCTACCACGCCTGGCTAATTTTTTGATTATTGTAGAGGTGAGGTCTCGCCAAGTTGCCCAGGTGGGTCTCGAACCTGTGGGCTCTGGCAATACACTCACCTCAGCCTCCCAAAGTGCGGGATTACAGGCTGAGCCACCGAGCCCAGCTATTTTTATTTTTTATGAGTTGGAGTCTCACTCTGTCGCCCAGACTAGAGTGCAATGGCCGCTCCCGGTCACCGCAGCCTCGACCCCGCTGGGTTCCGGCGATCCTTCCGTCTCAACCTTCCAAGTAGCTGGAACTACAGGCGCGCGCTACCACGCCCGGCTAATTTTTGATTTATTGTAGAGATGAGGTCTCGCCAAGTTGCCCAGGCGAGTCTCGAACCCACGGGCTCAGGCAATTCACTCACCTCGGACTCCCAAAGCACGGGATTACAGGCTGAACCACCGAGCCTGGCTAATATACGTTTTTAAAAAGTCATGTTTTCAGAGTATTTAGCGATGGGGAACATGCTCACAAAGCAATATCTTGTTACTGAATTCTTTTTCCACTGAAAAATGAGAGTAGGTGAGCTGGTGAACTCAGGGATTTTCTGCCTCAACTAAAAGGGCTATGTCATAAAAAATTGTGAACACTATCATACTGCATACTGAATGATATAAAAAATAAACAGATGTGTCTATGTAGAGAAATAAGACTAAGAACAGTGTGCACAAAGACATTCCCCATAACATACACTAAGCTCACAGATACGATGCTTCATTTTTTCCTGAAAGTCCATAAAAGTACAAACTGATGCTAACAAGGGCAAGTATATGGCCAAAAAAATTTTCTTTTTAAAGAAGAAAACATGAGCCCGGCTCGGTGGCTCAGCCTGTAATCCCAGCACTTTGGGAGGCTGAGGTGAGTGGATTGCCTGAGCCCGCGGGTTCGAGACCCGCCTGGGCAACTTGGCGAGACCTCACCTCTACAATAAATCAAAAAATCAGCCAGGCATGGTAGTGCATGCCTGTAATTCCGGCTACTTGGAAGGCTGAGGCGGAAGGATTGCCAGAGCCCAGCAGGTCGAGGCTGCAGCGGCCAGGAACGGCCACTGCACTCCAGTCTGGGTGACAGAGTGAGACTCCAAATCAAAAAAAAAGAAAAGAAAAGAAGAAAACATGGAATTAAGGCAGTCCGGATTGAAAACCACTCATTCAATCAATAATCATGCTCTACCAAGGAAAGGAAAACAGAGAATCCTGTTTTCAGGATGTAAAATCTGCCTAACAACTACTAGGGAGGTTAAATTTGAAGTGCTGCTGGGGGTAGGGGACTCCAGAAGAACAGAAACGAGTTCCAGAGGCAAGGAGGAGTGTGGGACACATTTCGAACCATACAAAAGGGCCACATTCTCTGATGTACTGTTTGTATTCTTGGAGAACAATTTTAAAATTAATGCTTCAAGTAGTATAAAACAGAAGGAGGGAAAGACAGAAAAGAAGGGAAGGAGAGAAAGAAAAAAGAGAAGGGAGAAAGGCAGACAGAGGATAATGGCATAGTCATAGTCCTGCTTGTCCTGCTGACAGGTGCAAGAGTGTGGCCTGCGTCTGGTAGGCAATGAGGACGTAGGTGGAGGTTTCTTGGCAGAGGAACCATCACCTAAGCAGAATGGATGAGAAGGTGGGTGATGGCAGGGCAGCGGAAATGAAGTAAGGAGACAGAGTCAAGAGATGGCCAAGTACAAATGACAGACGTGGATCTGATCAGACGCATCAGAGATGACCCTGAAACGTCAACTGTTTTGGGGACAGGGCAGACAGCAGAGCACTCACTATAACTGAGCTTCAAGAGAAGCAGCAGCTTAGTGGTGGCTGGTGACTAGGTAGAGGCGGTGGAAGAGGTCTTGGTAGCTGGAAGGATTAAAAAATAGAACAGCAAGTAGAGGTATCATTCCATCACTGGATGTAAAAAAAGGCTAATTACACCGAGTGGAAAGTTTAAGAGTTGGAGAAGCAAGGCAGGCCAAGCCCATTGAGGCACTCAGCTAGAGGGCATTGTGGGAACATCTGAACACCCAATGCTAGTCCATTGAGTCGCTCAAGGAGGCCATTCACAAAAGCACTCCCTGGGAGGGCAAGCTCTTCCTGACAGAATACCAACTAGTAAATGTAGGAAGAATCAGGGATTTAGAAGAACTATGATGACCACAGTTCCAGAGTCATCAATAGATGTTCAAACTAGTGGGTGAAAGTATCAGGAGAAATCTGTCTCAAAGCATCTTCCTACAAAATACATCTTAATTACAAAGGGGAAAGAAGTAGCTTCAAAGTGAAGAAGCCTGACAGATACCACCTTCATCAAATGATCAAAGTGAACAGTTCCAGGGATGGCACAGATCAACATCACACGTCTTCAGATGTGATGCACCGAGAAGGACACAGCATCACTGCCCTGCTATTCCTAACAAAAGTGCATACCCAGAATCTAATCACAAAACATCAAAAAACAAAAAGGAAAGCCATGCTGAAGAATATCCTACAAAGGAACTGATCTGTACTCTTTAAAACTACCAAGGTCAAGCTAGGCTTGGTGGCTCAGCCTATAATCCCGCGCCTTTGGGAGGCTGAAGTGAGTGGATTGCCTGAGCCTGCGGGTTCGAGACCCGCCTGGGCAGCGAGACCTCATCTCTACAATAAATCAAAAAATCAGCCAGGCGTGGTAGCGCATGCCTGTAATTCCAGCTACTTGGAAGGTTGAGGTGGAAGGATCACCGGAGCCCAGCAGGTCGAGGCTGTGGTGGCCGGAAGCGGCCACTGCACTCCAGTCTGGGCAACAGAGTGAGACTCCAACTCAAAAAAAACAAAAACCAAAAAAACTACCAAGGTCATGAAAAATAGACTACCAAACTGTTCCAGATTAAAGGAGACTAAAGCGATTTGACAACGAAATATAACATGTGGTCCAGGATTAGGTCCTGTACCAAATCAAAATTTTGTCTGTTGCTATAAAGGACATTAGTGGGAAAACTGATGAAATGAAAATGTCTAGAGTTTAGATTACAGATAGATTAGTACTGGGTCAATATTAACTTCCTAATTTTGATAACAGCACGGTGGTTCTGTAAGAGGATGCTTTTAGGAAATGCCCATGAGGTATTTAAAAGTAAAGGTGTATCATATCTGCAACTTTCAAACATTTTATACAGAGAGAGGTTTTTAAAAAAAAGACACTATAGAGAAAGAATGATAAAGCAAATATAATAACATGCTGACATTTAGGGAACCTGGGAATTTTTGTAACTTACCGTTCATTACAATTTCCAATTGTTGTAACTTTCCTATATTTCAGACGTTATTTGAAAATAAAAAGTTAAGGAAAAAAGGCTCTCCACTTCCCCTGATAAAAATGACACATCCTCTCTGAAGAGTGGGGTCAGCAAAAAAGAGCAGCTACAACTACTCAGAATTGCTGCTTCAGTTTTCTCCTTGTCTGGGAGAGAAATGCCAGGAAGAAATTAATATAAAACCAACGTCAAAAAAGATGGACAATGAGAAACGGCTCTGGGTATGGAATGGGCCAAGACAAAGCTATGGTATGCTGTGATTACGCACAGTGCATGCTAAGATTCACCCCAGGGTGCCACAGAGAAAATCCTGGAAGTAACTACAAAGTCCTGGGTGGGCTTCAACTCAAAAGCTGTTTTCCCCGATTTGTAACACCCTAAGTAAACATAACAATGTCACTCAGCTTCACATGCTGCTGCTGAAATCAGCAGCAGAGCCTAGTAGGCTGCCCACACTAAGTAATACTTAATACCTTACAGACAACAACAGAATTAGAAAGAACATGGAAAGGCAGTAATCCCTACCTTAATTTCATTCCATTTAAGCCCTGTATTCTTAAACTCAACTATTAATGCTTGAGAATCCACATTAGCATGTGCCTGCCTCACCACCTTCTCTTCAAAACCATCAGCTCAGCCAGGCTGAGCTCATATCTGTAATCCCAGCACTTTGGGAGGCAGAGGCAAGAGGACTGCCTGAGTCCAAGGGTTCGAGACCAGGCTGGCCAACTTGGGGAGACCTCGTCTCTACAATAAATCAAAAAATTAGCTGGCTGTGGTGGCACACGCCTGTAGTTCCACCCTATCTGGGAGGCTGAGGCAGAAGGATCTCTTGAGCACAGCAGCTCGAGGCTGTGGTGGCCATGAGTGAACCACTGTACTCCAGCCTGGGCGACAGAGTGAGACTCTGACTCAAAAAACAAACAAACAAACAAAAACCCATCAGCTCTCAAAATAGCCAGGAGAAAAATCAAAGGAAGCAGTGGGAAACTGGAAGGTCAAAGAAATACAAGGGAGCTGTACAGGAATGAAACAAATGGCTTTAATACAAGTACAATTTTATTCTTTCAAGAACAATGCAGAAAAATTTTCAAGACAGTCTGCCTTTGAGATAACACCAAGTTGTCAGTGGAGCTAAAATTCAGTTGCATAACCAGAAGCTATCCCAAGCATCCTAATTGTTTTTTTTAATCTCAGAAAAAATCCTATCAATATATGAGTCTCAGGCACCAGATCAATGCTAAGGACTATAACAATCACAATACTCATTCATTTTTTTTAAACTGAAGTGTACTGTGTATCTAGCAGAGCACAGAGGACAAGATCAAACATACAACCTACAAGTAGCTTATGCATCTGCAGAAACACAGACAGGCAACTGATACACAGCATGCTGCACACTAGAGGCTGGAGAGTGGCGGGAGCATGGATAAAGTACCTAACCAGCCACAACTGCAACTTTAAGGACAGAGCCGCTCCCGCATGTGCCAAGGTCTAACAAGCCACAGCAGCCTCAAAACGACACAAACGCAGAAAACCCACAAGTCTGACAGCTGTCAGAACTGCCTGGCTCCTTCTCCGAGAGCATCTCACACTCAACAACTGATTTGGAATCTCCAGACAACTTAGTTCTCCAGAGAGTACCCTGTGGACAGTGAAAGGCATAAACTGCTACGTGGAGACATGCTTACCTGTGGCTTCAATGTACTCAATACATCTTTCAATAAAAATGGGGATTGGCTTCTCTGGAGTCACGACAGTTGTTAAGGGCACCCCAAAATAGTTACTCTCCCAGGTTGCCTTTGTGATGGACGGCCGGGGTTTGGGCTTTGGTTTCTGTCCAGGAAAGAGAAAAGGAAGCACAAAAGCAAAGTAAGTATCAACAAGCAACTTAAACATCAGTAAGGCTTCCAGAGGGAAACTCACAGTGGTGTGGAAACTGCTGAAAAGATTTCAAAAAGGACTTTAAAGACCCACTTGCTCATCTCACTAATTTTCTATCTTCTGGCCTCCAAATATCACACAAGATGCCAGAAAGTTGCCACACAGTCGCACCTTGAATGTGAGACTGTATCATTAGAACAAAGATGTTTATAAGAAGTAAGCCATGTTTATTTAATAAAATAACAATATGATTATCCACATCCTTCATCAGAGATACACTGGAATAAACAGGAAGTTTTCCAAACTCTCCCCATGGATAATAGATGTTATATACTCAAGGATGGCCGAAATCTTAAAAAGATAAGATGAAATGAAAAATGAATAATTTCCCCTTTCTAGAAAAGAGAGAGAACATGCATTCTGCTAGGACTGATAGCCCCAAACGAGAATTCCCTTTGATACATTAGCCTAGAGTTATTCTCAATGGCTTCCACATTAGGGAAGGGTAAAGCCAGCTAATCAAACAAGACAAATAAAATAATTCTTCTGTCTATTCTTTTTTTTTTGAGTTGGAGTCTCACTCTGTCGCCCAGACTGGAGTGCAGTGGCCGCTCCCGGCCACCGCAGCCTCGACCTGCTGGGCTCCGGCGATCCTTCCGCCTCAGCCTTCCAAGTAGCTGGAATTACAGGCATGCGCCACCACGCCTGGCTGATTTTTTGATTTATCGTAGAGATGAGGTCTTGCTGCCCAGGCGGGTCTCGAACCTGCGGGCTCAGGCAGTCTACTCACCTCAGCCTCCCAAAGGCACAGGATTACAGGCTGAGCCAACGAGCCCGGCTCTCCTGTCTATTCTTTCCCCAGTCATCTTCCTCATGAAGTAGCCGCAGCAGCAACTACCTGAGAACTTCCTATACACTAAGCAAGTTCCAAATAATGTTTCTTTTAAACCTCAGGACATTTCATTTTACCAAGGGAAAAAAGTCTCGTGTGCCTAAAAGACACAACTAGTAAGTGACAGTGCGTGGATTCAAATCCAGGAAGGTCTGCCTCTAAAGTCCATGCTCATTAACATTATTAATACTGAGATATTCTGCTACAAAATTATTCAGTCTTTAATTATGAAGCTTACATGGAGAAAAAACTGCTCTTAGCAAATGATAACTTTTCTAAAGCCAAAGAAATACAATTGAAATTGTGGCCTTTTGTTAAAATATCTACTAAAAAGAGGAAGATAACCAAATAGGTTCAAGGAAAACAGACCCAGGTATCTCTCCATCCATTTGGCTTCATTTTCAAGATGATGAGACCAAGTCAGAAGGGCAGATTTACTTAGAAACATGTACAGTCCATAAACCTCAGTAAGTTATTTAGGGATTTTACACAAATCCACTGAAGAAGACAACTAGCTGCCAGAACACAAGTTAACCATTCCCTTTCCTTCTCCTGTCCACCCTCATTCCTTTTAGCACTTCTTTATATGGGAACAAATCACTTCCTGTTTAGTCTGAAATTCTTTGAGGACTTCCTGTGCAAACAAGTGGCGCAAAAAAAAAAAAAAGTCAAGAATAAAATGTACACCAAGAAAAAGCAAGCCCATCTGTGGGCTGCTGGTTGACACCACCTCAAATGACCAACCACAGACAACAAGAATCCAGTCCTTATGCAGCCTGCGTACGGAGAACGCTGTAATGTGGATGGATTTGGGGTCCCAGAGAAAAACCATGCACTTCGTGAGGCCTGTTCCTGCCCGCAGCGAGATACCCACTCCTCATAAACTCATGACACAGCCACTCAGGTTATGGGCAGGGGCTGCTGCCTGCTCTCCTTAGAGACTGCCTGAAGCCAATAAGCTCTGACCTCAAACTCTTTACCAAAGGAGTAAGGAAAAGCCAATGAATGATGTATGATATACTTTGCAGAAAATACTTAATCTAATCTAGACTGTCTCTCAAGCATCTTCTACTAATGCGAAATACAACATAAAGAGTTTCAACTGTGAAATCTGACAGGCCTGGGTTTGAAAACTGGCCAATAAATTCTGTTACTTTGGTCAGGGACAGCAAACCACTCACAAGCGAGTCATGAGGGGAATAATAAGATGTGTGAGAAGCAGCTGAGCACCCTGCACACAGTAGTTACCCATAAACCTGAGCTCTTTTTTTTTTTGAGTTGGACTCTCTGTTGCCCAGGCTGAGTTCAGTGGCACGCTCACAGCCACCACAGCCTCAACCTGCTGAGCTCAGGTGATCCTCTCGCCTCAGCCTTCCAAATAGCTGGAACTACAGGCATGCGCCACCACACCCGGCTAATTTTTTTTTTTATGGTAGAGATGAGGTCTTGCCAAGTTGCCCAGGCAGGTCTTGAACCGCGGGCTCAGGCAATCCACTCACCTCAGCATCCCAACGCGCAGGATTATAGGCTGAGCCACCAAGCCCAGTTGATCATCTGTATTTAAATAACATCTTTCCATCTTCTACCTTTCAAGTATTTAACATTCTCAATCCTGAAGAATTAGCCCATCAAAATTAACATAACAGCATTGTTCTTCAATAAAACTGAGACTTCCAAATAAACTGCTGTGAAGGATTAAAAATGGAACTGAAGCAGGGCTTGGTGGCTCAACCTGTAAACCCGCACCTTTGGGAGGCTGAGGTGAGTGGATTGCCTGAGCCCGCGGGTTCAAGACCCGCCTGGGCAGCGAGACCTCATCTCTATAATAAATAAAAAAATCAGCCGGGAGTGGTAGCGCATGCCTGTAATTCCGGTTACTCGAAAGGCTGAGGTGGAAGGATCGCCGGAGCCCAGCAGTCCGAGACTACGGTGGCCGGGAGCGGCCACTGCACTCCAGTCTGGGCGACAGAGTGAGACTCCAACTCAAAACAAAAAAAAAAGGGAACTGAGAGGGGAACTGTAAAGAAGCTATTCCTAATCACCTTAAAACCTTCTAACCATAGTACTAGTAAACAGACAAGAGGCTGAAGGAGGTGGCTCACACCTGTAATTCCAGCATTTTGAGATGCTGGGGTGGGAGGATCGCTTGAGCCCAGGAGTTCGAGACCAGCCTGGGCAACACAGCAAGACCCTGTCTCTACACAAAAAATTAACAAAATTCGCTGGGTGTTATGGTGCACACCTGTAGTCCCAGCTGAACCCAGGAGTTCAAGGCTGCAGTGCGAGGAAAAAAAAAAAGAAAGTAAAAAGACTAGAAATGTTCATTTTGTCTCCACCTACCCTCTCAATATTCAGAAAAGATGATAAAGATGATGCTGGTATGTTCTAGCAATCTAAGTTAGCTAAAACATGTCACCGCTGGCAACAGAAGGCTTTCTGTGTACCAGACTCTTACTTAAGCACATGCTGCACGTGATCTGGCTCCAGACTCACAACAGGTCTGTGGGTACAGGATCCCATTTTTGTAGAGGAAGAAGCCGAATCCTGGAAAAATGTAGTAGCTTGCCCAAGTCAGGTCTCTCTGACTGCAAAACCTGTGCTTTTGACCACTGCAGTTTATAGCCTTCTTGTGAACGCTCTTGGCATAGGCAGAATGGATAAATGGTTGATTGAATAAATGAATACAAACACACTGGTTTTCTGGAGGACTTCTAAAGGCAATAAAGGCCCACTCACATAAAACACCAGGAACTTTCAGCTGGAAAAGGGAAGAATGGGGCACTAGGATAGCTATTTTCGTAGCTGAGCACTACCTACTGAATATGGAACAGGCTATTTTGCTTAGCTCCGAAGGGTCATGCTGGGAGAGGTAAGAGAGACGCAAGGCCAAATTAGACAATCGCTCTTATCTCTCTCACCTCAAAGAGCACAAGATCTAGTTCAACCCTTCAATTTACGAGTGTGGAAATGAAGGATAAGCTTTTGCAACAGCATCCACTCCCTATCCCCTTGCTGAATGACATGGATTCTATCTTGTTGGCTCTCTTTTAAGATTTAAACAAACTCTGATTTACAGAACGTCAAAACACCTCCTTGAGATAACTGAAGCCTCTCTAGGGTGCCGCAAAATTAGGCATTAAATTCTTGCACAACTAATTCTAAATCCTCCTAGTAAGGAAATCAGAGTTTGGGGTACATGCCAAACAAGAGTTGGGCTAGATTGCTGATACCACAACCAACACTTCAGGCATCTGAAGGTCACTGGGCACATTTCAGACGGGAATGCCATTCTCCTGAGCAGCTTGCCAGATGTCTCATGTCCCCAGTCAGAAGTGTGTCTCTTTAGGGAGTTATCGGAGCACTCTCAGCAGCAGGTCCTTGGAGAGGAGAAAGTGACACCACCCAACATCCATCTTCTTTTAGGGGCACTTACTTAGCAGGCTGAACTGACAAAAGTACCTAGCCAGAGGAAGTCAATCCCCAAGAACAATCTCCACACCTTTGCCTTGAAGTTTAGAGTCCAACTAGGCCAAAAATGAAACTGTAATTCCTTAGGAGTGGCTGGACATGGTGCTAGGTGCTCTGCACAATTATCCAAAACTTCACAACCACCATGCTAGGTAAGGGTTATTAGACTCATTTTACAGTTGAGAAAACAGAGGCTCAAAGAGATTCACACTCAGCACTGACAGCACTGGGGATCAGTGAACACCAAAGTCCCACACCTTCCTCTACATGAGCTATTGCCATGATGCAATGCCACTGCCACACACCAAGAACTGGGCAGCTGCAATCACCTTCACCTTGTCCTTTTAAATAGATTTTTGTAAATGAACAAGATAATCCATTGCTCTGTGCCTCACGGTTTCCTGAAAACACACCTGATACTTAGTCTGGGCACTAATCATGTGGCAAAGGTTATAAATCATAGTTTCTGCCAGCGGGGAACCAAGGAGAAATGGTGCTGGAGTCTGCCTCTGCCCTTCCAGCCTTTCAGACACAAAGGCATAAAGGGGAAACTCCCAGCTGTGGCAGAGTCGGAAGCTACACCTGTCACTGC